AAAAAAAAAAAAACATTAATTACATTTATGATTATATTCTAATATACAAAGGTGGGAGATGAAGGGGGGGGGGTTCATAATACGTAGAATCCACTTAAAAAAAAATTATTGAACACATATCACGAAGATACAATCTATCTGTACAACATAAAAAAAACAACACCCCCCGCTGTATATTTTATTTCATTAACAATAATAACAAATACGATTACGTAATGGTATCAAACTAAAATGCATAAAAAGATGTGTAGTAGGGGAGGTGGGTGGGACAGGGGACAGGGGCTGGAGTACCTAGCGAAAAAATCAAAATCAAATTTAAATCAAATGATTATCTTTTTTTTTATTTTTTTTTTCAGACGAGATTATCATCGTTATTAAAAACAGCGGAAGACCTTCACATCAAGGGTTTGGCGGAAGTAAGCTGGCGTAGTGATTCAACGCAAAATGAATCGAATAATGTTGGTTCGACCGGTGCCACACCCCCAGGTGTTGAAACAGTTTTAAGGGAAGGTGAAACGGAAGAACCGCAGCCACCAAAACAGAGGCGCAGGGGTCGTCCGCCATTGGACGACACACCAACAACACAGGACCTCTTTATACCTAAGATCACGTGTATAACTGGCAATGTGCGTAAATAATCATTTTTTTTTTTTTCTTCTTCTAATTTTTAATAATATCTTTTTTATATTGTCTTTATTGTTATCACATTTGTGCACGATTAAAATTAAATCCGTGTTTGATTGATATGAACGCACGCATATATGCGCTTAGGGGAAATGCTATTGGTTGGTTGGATCTATGGGAGAGGTATATATATATATATATATGCACTCTGTAAAAAAAAAAAAAAAAAAAAAAAAGTGTGATCCTCTAACGTAACAATAATTATAATAATAATATAATAATAAAATTAAGGAATATAAATTTTTTTTCCAACGTGCGATCACGTACCGATATTTTATACACGGTGTTTCACAATAATAAACACACGTAACAATTGTTACTTTATTTATTTGATTGTTGTTTTAAATCACCATACAAATATATATTTCATTTATATCATATTTTCATTTGTGCGATTAGTTCGCTGCACAAAACTCGCATGAGGAAATGATGAGCGAGGGCGACCACGAAAGTTGGGACGACGAAATGATGGCCAATGAGAATAACGAAACAATACCGATGGTAAGAAAAA